ACTGATATTTCATATGTATATAGTATATGTGCTATAAGTATATGTGTTCAAAGTGAACACATTCATATATACACAGGGTTTAGTGAAAAATGTCACATTTCTGGTAGAAGTTTTTCCTGGGAAGAAGAATTTATTGGGAGCTGACAAAGTATAGCACTCTAGGAATGAGTTAAAAGGCAGTTCCGTGATATGTCTTGCAGTAGTCAGGCAGCGATATTTAAGGATACAAAGTTTCTTTTTCTTTTTCTTTAATATATTTGGTTGTTACAGGGTCTCACTATGCAGCTCAGACTCATAGTAACCCTCCTGTTTTCAGCCTCCCCCTCGCTGGGATTACAGGCCAGCGCCACTATGCCCTGGACTCTGACCAGCTCAGCCCTCTCTGGGGGCAGCAGCAAGCAGTGCTGGGGATCTAACCAAGGTCACTGGGCTTGCCTAAACTTGCCTGAGACAATCCACTGAGCTGTCTCACTGATCACAAAGTTTCATTTTGAGGTGATGGAAATATTCAAAAATTGAGACTAACCCAAAACTCATTCACTTATCACAAAATGTGAACACTGTAATGTAAATGAGTCCAAAGAAAGAGGAAATACAATCTGAAGTTTATGTTAGAACAGGGAACATGATCATAGGTTTTCTGAAGGAGGTATTAAATTTTAATTAGTCTCAGGATTTGCAAAAGGAGAACTATGGCCACTGCATATTTTCTTCTCTGATATGTAATTCAAATTATAAATTCCCTCCACTGATTGGATCATAATTTGATTTACAATTTTGTGGAGGTGATGTAAAGAGATGGAACCTAGTTGAAGGGAGTGGATCATTGAGAATGACCTTCCTGACCTTTTTCTGCATAGAGCTCTCTCCTCTCTGCTTTCCAACTGCTGTGATGAGCAAGTGTCTTACACCATAGTGTTTTGCTAGGATGTTCTTCCTCCCCTCAGGCTCACAGCAATTTAACTAGCTAACCATGGAATAAATCCTCTGAAACTGCAGCAATCCTTTCCTCCTCTGTGTTGTTTTTCTCAGTTACATTTGGACACAGTGATGAAAAGCTGACCAGAATAGGTACCAAGACTGATGACAGAAGAAACTGAGAAAGTACTGAATTCAGATAAAGGCTTAAACATTTTGGGTAAATATCTGGTACCTTATTATTCCTTCATTAAATATTGGATTTACCTATTGTATTATCTATCTATCTATCTATCTATCTATCTATCTATCTATCTATCTATCTAATGATTTGGTACAGGGTCTCACTATGCAGCTCAGATTCATAGTGATCTTCCTGTCTCAGCCTTACCAGTGTTGGGATTTCAGGCATGAGCCACCATGCCATTTTGGTGGCTTGTGCAGCATGCGGTATCAGGGATCGAACTTGGGTCCTTGCACTTGCCAGGTAGGTACTTAGAATGCCAAGCTATCTCCCCAGCCACCTATTGTATAATTTATCATGTACCTGAGTAAAATTTTTCTGTAACTCATTGTTAAGAGTTAAACTCAGCTAATTTAAAGAATTACATTAGCATAAGCAAGGAAATTTGTCAGATTTTTTATTACTTCAGGGTATAGAATTATGTAGTTTCACATGCTTTGTGATCCAAAATAAACCTCTCCTCATATACACTGTCAGTGTTGAGTATTGTGTCCATGGGACATATATGTTTTATTGGGAAGGTCTTTTTCATGTCAGGCCTGACATATATTACAGGCATGTGCTACCACACCTAGCAAATCGTTACATTCTTGCATAAAAATGACTTCATACTAATACAAATGACAGTCATAAAAATATCTTAAGTCTTAAACTCAACTAACATTTATAACATAATGCATGTACAAACATAAATTATTTCCTAACCAATATAGATGTAGGATTTTCAGCAACCTAGACAACAATTTGAATGAGAGTTCAAGACTTTTCCAAATTAAATATGTAGCAGAACATTAGCCTCTTGTAAGAGAATTATGTAGATGCAGGAAGACTGAAAGCAATGGAAAGTTTATGAATTAAATATAAATTCTTTATATAACAGGTTTCTGATAAGAATGTGATAAAAATAACTCAAAAATAATTCATGCTATTATTTCATTTACAGTCTTATTCCAATAACCTGTAACTGCTGACCAATTAGTAAATTCCTTCCTATATTAATATAAATTATACTATGAATTGTCTGATAAGTACATTGTGTCCTTTTAAAAAGGCCTTCAAATATTGTTTCCCAAAAGAACCAAGTGACTTCAATTAATGAATAATGAGGCCTTTGCAATGCTTTTTTTTTTTTTTTTTTTTTTTTTAGAACTGGGGATTAAACTCAGGCCCTTGTGCTTGTCAGGCAAGCATTTATTCTACTGAGCCATCTCCCCAGTCCCTTGCAATGCTTTTATATCATAAATTTCACAATAGTGAAATAAAGTGATAGCTCAGAGAAAAATCCCATCTTGATATATTCTACATAGCCATTTCATTTCTCAACAGTGTAAATTGTCTGGTGTTGAGCAAATTTTGAGCCGTGACTTCACTGGGGCATATTTTACATGCCATGTAACTCATGTATACAACCCAAAGTTTTTTTAATGATTTTTTTTAGAGTTGTGCAACCATTTCTGTATGCACAGAAATGGATTCAGTTATGCCTTTAGTATCTTTTTTTTTTTTTTTTCAGAACCAGAGATTGAACTCAGGCCCTTGCGCTTGCCTGGCAAGTGCATCTATCTATTCTACTGAGCTATCTCCCTGGCCCCTGAGCTGTGACTTCAGATGTTTCAAGTCTGTCCCTTCACAGATAGTCACCATTGTGAGTTTTCTGTTTACTGAAATATGAATGGCGAATAAAGATGTAGTTATTCTTCTTAAATTCACAGGTCCCTGACCAGTGTACTTTCTATGACATATAAGAATTTCCCAGGTTGGGGATATAGCTCAGTGGCGTAAGAGCCTGCCTGGCAAGCGCAAGGTCCTGAGTTCGATACCCAGTGCTGCAGGAAAAAAAAAAACCAAACCAAAAAACCAAAAAAAACGGATTTCCCTTGTTATTTATATATGTAAAGTTTATTGGCCAGTATGCATGCTCTGATGTCTAGTAAGTTATGAACACTGGAAAAAAGATTTTCCTCATTCTTCATATTTATATGGTCTCCTTCCAGCATGGATTTTTCTCATGCCAACTTGTGAACCATGCAAAAGGTATTTCCACATTCCTTACATTCATAGTTTTTCTCATCAGTGTGTATCTTCTGATGCTGATTAAATACCAAGCTGTAAAGAAAGATCTGTCCACATCCCTTACATTCATAATTTATGAATTATCTCATGTTGAGAAAGATGAGGCCCAAATAAAAAATCTCCCTATAATGCTTACGTTTAGAAAGTTTCTAGCTAGTATGAATTTGTTGATGTCAAGAGCAAGGTGTAAGCTCCAGATGTAGGTTATACCGCATATTGCACATTCACAGGGTTTTATTGCACATTCACAGGGTTTCCTACCAACATGAACAGTCTGATGCCTGGCAAGATTTGCACCTTGAATAAAAGCGTTACCACATTCTTGAATTCATGTGAATTCTCTTTCCTGTGAATTTTTGACATTTGGTCAGGCGTAAGTGCCAATTAAAACCCTTCCCACACTCCTTACACTCACAAGGCTTTTCATCTTTGTGACTCCTCTGATATTTAATTAGAGGAGATTGCTGACTAAAGGACTTGGTACATTAATCAGAATCATTGGGGGCCAGGGAGATGGCTCAGTAGAATAAGCGCTTCTCTGCAAGCACAAGGGTCTGAGTTCAATCCCCGGAAAAAAAAAAAAAAAAAAAAAAAAGAATCATTGGGCTTTTCACTAGTATGAATTCTCCAATGTTGACTAAGGCCTGATCCCAAATGAAAGGTCTTCCCATATTCTTTACATTTATAAGATTTATCACCAGTATGAATTTGCTCATGGATATGAACTTATGAATGAAACCTAAAGGCTTTCTCATATTCCTTATATTTGAGTTTCCACCAGTAGAAATTTGTTTATGGATACTAACTTGTAAATGAAATCTAAAGGCTTTCCAAAATTCCTTATATTTAAAAGGTTCCTCACTGGTATGAATTCTCCTAGAACCAGTTAGGCTTGAATGTAATCTTAAAGCTTTGCCACATTGTTTACATTCATATCTTTTCTTGTCAGTGTGAATTGTTTCATATTGAGTAAATTCTAAATTGGGAAGAAAGGAAGAAAAGTCTTTTGATATTCCTTATCTTCATAGCATTTGCCATTTGTGTAAATTGACTTAGGTTGACCAGGTCTGAGCAAGAACGAAAGCTTCTTCATATTCTTCAGATGCACTCAGTATCTCTCATGTATTGAGTTTCTGGCATTGATTAAAAGCCATGTGCTGGTTCAAAGTATGCATATTTTTCACAGGAGACTATTAACGGGTTGAAGTACTCATTTTGATTTTTATGCTGTATTTGCAACTGTCGTTTGTTGACTTCATCACCTCTCAAACATAAACATTCAAGGGTGTGATTTCTACAAATTCTTATTACTTCCCCATTGGGAGAATTCTCTTTCCAAAGTGTGTGTTTGTTTGTTTGTTTCAGTACTGTGGATTGAACTCAGGACACTGCACTTGCCAGGCAAGCGCTTATTCTACTGAGCTATCTCCTTGGCCCTAAACTTCTAATGTTTATATATAGTGTAAACCCTAAAGTAAAACACAAAAAGTGAATGACTTAAAAAAAATTCTAACTTAGGATAATATGAAAAAAGTTTTTAAAAAAAGTTTAAAAGATAATACAAGATGAGTCAAATGAGAGACTTAAAATTTTGTTTTTATGTTATTCCCTGGGCTAATAAAAAATGATTGGCCGGGTACCAACTCAATAAAAAATAGGATTATTTAAAATTTTGGGGTGCACAAGGAGAGGAGCACGAGAAGCGAGAAGTACGAGAAGCGAGAGCGGTGTCTACCCGAGCGGTGTCTACCCGGCAGGACTCGTCATGAGGGAGTGTATCTCTATCCACGTGGGGCAGGCAGGTGTCCAGATCGGCAATGCCTGCTGGGAATTGTACTGCCTTGAACATGGAATCCAGCCTGATGGTCAGATGCCTAGCGACAAAACTATTGGTGGCGGGGACGACTCCTTCAACACGTTCTTCAGTGAGACTGGGGCTGGCAAGCACGTGCCCAGAGCAGTTTGTGGACCTGGAGCCCACGGTGGTAGATGAAGTGCGCACCGGGACCTACCGACAGCTCTTCCACCCGGAGCAGCTGATCACAGGGAAGGAAGATGCAGCTAATAATTATGCTAGAGGCCATTACACCATTGGCAAGGAGATCGTGGACCTGGTCCTGGACCGCATCCGCAAGCTGGCGGATCTGTGCACAGGCCTGCAGGGCTTCCTCATCTTCCACAGCTTTGGAGGTGGCACCGGCTCCGGGTTCGCGTCTCTGCTCATGGAGCGGCTCTCGGTGGACTACGGCAAGAAGTCCAAGCTGGAGTTTGCCATTTACCCAGCGCCCCAGGTGTCCACGGCCGTCGTGGAGCCCTACAACTCCATCCTGACCACGCACACGACCCTGGAACACTCGGACTGTGCCTTCATGGTGGACAACGAAGCCATCTATGACATCTGTCGGCGCAACCTGGACATCGAGCGCCCCACCTACACCAACCTCAATCATCTGATCGGGCAGATTGTGTCCTCCATCACGGCCTCCTTGCGCTTTGACGGGGCCCTGAATGTGGACTTGACGGAGTTCCAGACCAACCTGGTGCCGTACCCCCGCATCCACTTCCCCCTGGCCACCTACGCCCCGGTCATCTCTGCCGAGAAGGCCTACCACGAGCAGCTGTCCGTGGCTGAGATCACCAATGCCTGCTTCGAGCCAGCCAATCAGATGGTCAAGTGTGACCCTCGCCACGGCAAGTACATGGCCTGCTGCATGTTGTACAGGGGAGATGTGGTTCCCAAAGATGTCAATGCTGCCATCTCCACCATCAAGACCAAGCGTACCATCCAGTTTGTGGATTGGTGCCCGACTGGATTCAAGGTGGGCATTAACTACCAGCCCCCGACCGTGGTTCCAGGGGGAGACCTGGCCAAGGTGCAGCGGGCCGTGTGCATGCTGAGCAACACCACTGCCATCGCCGAGGCCTGGGCCCGCTTGGACCACAAGTTCGATCTCATGTATGCCAAGCGGGCCTTTGTGCACTGGTATGTGGGAGAAGGCATGGAGGAAGGGGAGTTCTCCGAGGCCCGGGAGGATCTGGCGGCGCTGGAGAAGGATTATGAAGAGGTGGGCGTGGATTCCATGGAAGCAGAGGCTGAAGAAGGAGAAGAATACTGAGTAGGCATGAGCAGCTGGCAACTCTTCCTTAACTTCCTGCTCACATGCACTGTTTACCATTACAGTATGTACCTATTAAAGTTCCTGTATTGAAGCATTAAAAAAAAATAAATAAATAAAAATAAAATTTTGGGCTGGGGTAAAGGTTGTATTTCATTCAGTATGGTATAAAACCTTTAACACATATAAACATTTAAAAATAATTTTTGAATAAATACATTACAAGACAATAAAAGAGGAATGGGGAAGATGGAGCACAGATAGCACTAAAAAAACTAGAAATAGAACAAAAAGGACAACCTAATAATATAATAATAATGTAATATATCTCACTATCTACTCCTTTCCATTTTTATTAAAGGGATTACATGTAGTGTTTCTGTATGACTTTCTGTGGAAACAAATGAAAACCAAAGCAATTCAGGATACCTTTGGGAAATATGAAGATATGTGATCATAACTAATCAACTTATGTTTTGCCTGTGCACATGTAAATATTTAACTTTTCTTATTTCCTGCACTGTGGCTAGCCAAATTATTTTTTGTCACATAATCCCAATCAAGATGCTTTTATTTATTTACTCTTGATGATGAAGAACTGATCATCCATTCTAGAGACCCACCAAGGCTTACTTAAATATCCATTTTCCTTCTATCCAAGGCCAATGAAAGTATCTAAAAAGATAACTAAAAATTTGTAAGCACTATATTAGGTACTATGATAATTTATAATCCCGAACTAAAAAAAGAAAGGCTGAAAATAACAGAACATCTGTGTAGTATGTGTATGTGGGAAGCAATCTAATGCAGTTGTGAAAATCCTAGGAACCCAATAATATAGGACACATTGTATATACATTGAAGGAGACAAGTATGAGTAATGGTTCAGATAAGAAAACAATTTATTAAATTTGGCAAAGAAGAATTCAGCATGATGACGAATAAGTAGAACTATTACTCTGCTGTGAATCATTTTTTGTAAGTATGTAGGACTGAGTAAAAATGTCATATATTTGTGTTATGAGCTTTTCCTGGGAGGCAGAGTATCTTGGGATCTGAGCAAAGACTCTAGCAGTAACTGAATGAGTCAAAAGGCAGTTCAATCAGATGGTATAAACAGTAATGAACTGCAGGTAAAAGTAGGCAGACTAGAATTTCAGACTCCCATTCTGTTACTCAAACTATATTTAGGTGTTGGGAAACCTACTGAGCTTAATATTACAAGTTTGTTAAAAAAGGTGGAAGTAATACAGTGTTTCTATAAAGTGCCTTCAAAAGAGTAAAGTGCTGAACAAGTAGTAAAGGATCATTATAATCATCAGTAGAGAAAAAAATGGAGAATATTGTGAATTAAATAAGTCAAGAATTGCCTTTTATGACACAGAATTCTCCTGGGTTGTGCACCTTTAGTCCTTACTTCTCTTTTGCAACTTCCTCCTTTAATGAGGCCAGATCCTATATTCACCTAGTATCCTGATTTTCACCAAAGCAGCGTAGTCTCTCTTGCTGTAGAGCCTATTATGCAGAAATTTATGGCTATGTTTCTGTCATAGAAAAGATTTAAAAATTTCTTAATATATTACTTAGTCCATGTTAACTCTTCTAAATCTAAAATTAAATAGATAATCAGTAACTTTTGATTGAAATGAAGAGAATTAAGTAACTAAGGAAATGTGTAGCAAGGAGACAGTCGTAAAGTTAAGAAAAATTCAAGAGAGACAATAAACTGAAAAACATGGCTACAATGTTCTTTGCAGGAGAGAGGGAATGAAGAAATTTATAAATACCTACATGAAAAAAAGGAAAATGAGAAATACTTGATTCAAACAATCCATAAAGCAATGACTAGGAAAAAAAAATTGTACTTTCCTTGTTATAACATAAAGGAAAAATGAAAGCATTGGAAGGGGAAACTATGTGGGATGAAATAAAAGTTCTTCTGGAAAAGGTTTGCTCCCAAGATCTCAAGCCTTTATTAAAGTTTTTTTGCCTATTTAAAAGATACTGCAGAGCAGTATTTCAGGTATTAATGCTAGTATTTATGATGAAGAATGCTTGTGCCTGCTCAGCCTTCACTTACCTGGGCAAGGTCCTCTTGTCTCATCTCTCAAAAACATCCAGGGCCCTTGCCTTTTCTCCAACAAGTAGAATACATCTGGCTGATAAATGTAAAGTCCTGGTAGAAGATAAAACACAGAAAATGACCACATGGGTAAAGGTTCCAAAGTTTACACCTAGTTCTTTGATGACGATTACTATGAAATTTAGAAAGCACATTTTTTTCCCAGGAACAGATGTCAGGTTCCTATAGACATATGAAAGACAACTTAATAATTGACAATGAATGGGCTGGTGAGATGGCTCAGTGGTCTAAAGCACCTACTTAGAACAAGCTAAGCTAAGCAAAGCACAGGGACCACGGTTCAGTCCCCCAGCACCACATGCCAGCCAGCCCCGCCCTCTGGTGGGCTGAACTGGCCACACACACAAAATAAATAAATAAATAAATAAAATAAAATTCTTTAAAAAATAATAATTGACAATGAAGAAGGCAGGAATTTCTATGACTATATTGTGAACTTTAACCACTGAAATAAGATTGTTGTAGTTTTCCACCATCACAGCTCTGTATAAATTCTTCTACTTGAGAACCTGGCACTCCCACTCCTTCTTAGAGAAATCTACAACAACATCTCTTAATGAAATCAAGTGCTACAATGGCAAACCCAAATAAACATTAATGATGAGGTTTTTTTAAAACAGAACTCCTTTGCTGCAAAGGAAAAGGTTGTATTTCAGGGTATGGGACATACAATGAACAAAACTTTACGGTTGCCTGGCTGAGGGACAGATGGAAATAAGTAATTAAAGCCAAGTACCAACAGGCTCACAAAAACTATTACTGCTTAGTGACAAAAATCCCTATGAGCTTCAGATAACAAATAGCAAGGCTTTACATTAACAGCCTAGAGTAAGAGACATCATAGGATTTTCTGTGACATCACTGAGAGATTACTCCAGCCTGGCATGACTAACTCCAGACCTGCTATTACATGAGCAATGTTGGGGGTTTTGTGAGCTGTTCATTTTATGTTAACTTTTGTTTTATTTTGAGATAAGGTCTCTTTGTAGTTTAGGCTGTCCTTGAACTTACCATGTAGCTTAGGCTGGCCTTGAACTTGTAGCAATCCTCTTGCCTCAGCCTCCTGAATGCTGGTATTACAGGTGTGCACCACTATATCTGGCCTGTGTTTATTTTTTGCAGAGGATATTTTGAGATACATTTCCCATCAGCTTACAGTGAAAGAATTTTTGACAGATATGCTCCCTAAGTGAATATTATTTTCTGAGGAGAATGGATAAGGTTTTGTTGTTGTTGTTTGAACAGGAGATTGAACTCAGGCACTTCTTGCTTATTCTACTGAGCCATCTCCCCGGCCCCTGGATAAGGCTTAAGGAACTCTACTAAGCAGCTGACAATCAGTATATCTTTTGTTAATGATCTTAATCTCTCCCTAATTTCCTGGACAGAGCTCAACTCTCTGTGAACTCAGTGTTCCCTTATAAATTCTAATAGCATCACAAGATGCCACAAAATGAAGTGAATACCAACCAAAGCCAGCTTCTATGTTGACTGATAATATTTACTCCATTCCATGGAATAAATAAAAGCTTTCATGAAATGTGATCTTGAATAACTCAGTTCCACCTTAACTTACAATTTTGAAGCAAAACCTCTATAATATTCCCAGTATGGAAATAGACTTAGCTTTGTTCAGTGTTCTGTCAGAAGAATTGGACATAGGGCACACTGACACTGAATACCATCACGTACAGATCTGGAAATATTCAGTGGAGAAAAGATGGACTCTGAGGGAAGGAATTAGACTGGTTCATATCCATAATTCACTACTCTGAACTGATTCATATAAGTAGTTTAAAAATAACAATTAAAATATTCTTATGGTGTGATACAAATGGAGTATTTCTGCATGTAATTCCAATTCATATGGGCCATAATTTTAAATTCCAATAATTGACCGGATAGCTTTTTATTTGTTTGGCTTTCTCTCTTGAGTCCTGAGAAAACAAGATAGAAGGGAAGATTCATAGCAGGCTTACCTTATACATTTCAAATGAGAACATTCTCTTCTTTATAGAAAGATCAGAGGGAGTCTGAGAAAATTCTGGCCCTATACAAAATAAGACAGACTTGACTAAAGCAGGGTAGAGATTCAATCTAAATGGTTGTGTGAAAATCATGACCTAGATCAGAATATGAGATAAAACCATTGTGATTCCAATAAATGTCTTGTATACCTATATAAGCCAGGAATTATATATCCCCAGAATTATTTTAAGGATAATGATCCCTGCTACCTGAGAACCCACTGTACCTTCATAGGGCTCTCCTGAATACTATACTTCCATGATAGTGTCTTGTTTCCTGCTCCATGCCCATGTTTTCATAACACCTACTGACTCATACTTACCCAAAGCATTCAAGGGCCACCAGAAAATAAAGTTAATTTTTGAGGCTAAATAATCCTGACTAGATTCATCATAATTCAATTGTATGACCTATATATACAAACTCAATAGTGTTTAGTGGGGCACAAAAAGACCTGTGTACATAGAGTATTTAACCAATTTGCACTATTAATTCCTACTAACCTCAAGACCCTGGTACTCTCTTCTTTATTTCTGCTTTCTTGTACAGAGTCTTGAAAAAACTGAAAATATGGTTCTGATAATTCCTTCCCACTTGAGGATGATAACAAACATACTGACTGAGCAATATTATGTATGAATATTATGTGTATATTTTACTGAAAATATGGAGAAGTTAAGCATATTAAAAGTAGATAGAATAGCATTATAAATGTCTAGATATATCAGAGACCACTGCATATGTACACTTTAAACTTTATGCTCAAGCTACCTGTTAAAATCCATTATTCTAATTTAAAAGAGATAACTGGTCACTTTCTCAAATTCATTATCAGAAAATAGTAT